ACCTTCCCCTTTTACCACTTGGAGACGTGCCCTGGGAGCCACCTAATTACCTAATTAGTTAATATGTTAGTTAGACATAGAATCCACCTAATTAATAGGTTTGTTTATAGAACCCACCTTAAAATAAACTTGCCCAGAATCAAATTGTAATACTACTTAGCACCAACATATTTAAGTGACTATATTCTTGACATTTTTGTCTTCAAAGAGATGTCGGGGTTTAATGGTGCCGAGGCTGGGAATTGGGCCTTCATCAAATATTAGATCAATTGTCTCAGAGGATAGGCAACTACTAATTTCTACATCCGGGAACAATACATGAGAATATGAGATGTTATTTTATACCATTTCAACTTTAAGAAACAATCTTTAAACACTCAAAAGTAAGGTGAATATATAAATTAGCATATAATATTATCCATCATAAAATCAAGCATTCAGTTACGGCATGTTTTTATTCCAAGCAGAATTATCCAATTTAACAAATCGTGATGATAGAATAAAATAGAAAAGTTATAGAAAACTCTTTGGAGCACATAATCTCGATTCCCACCGTTGAAATCTTGCTGATTGAATATTGTTGTTGAAACTCCAATCTTGAGTTGCTGTGACGAAAATTGAAAAGATTCATTGGCTTGCAGACTATGATATTGAAAACATCTATTGAAAAAATGTGTCCTATAAAACTGTGAGGGAAATTGAAAAGATTAATTATTACCTGAGATATTTATCCAATGGCCTGTGACCAGGTTTCTATAATATGTGATCTAAGCACTATAACATGTGGCATGGGAACTGTTATACGTGACATGTGATATATAAATTGTTGCATGTGATATTAATCCAAAGATTTGTGATCTAAGCAATATGATATGTGATTTGTGAACAATTACATTGGACACGTGACATGTAAACTATTAAATTTCGTGTTAGTTCACATACACCCGATTTGTTTAAATGTATATACATTATTCTTTTTCTATATTCATTGATTTAAATTAATTAAATTTCACGTTCATGAATCAATTTGATTGTTCT